CTCATAACTCGTGAAGCAAGGGCTGGAGATGAAGGGAAATAACCGAGGAAAAGGCTCGACCACCACAAGTACGAAAACAAGAACGTCCATACAGCCAGCTCAGCCTGGTTGATGGTGATTTTTTTCTTTTTGGTTAAGGAGGGGGCAAAGAGGGTCAGGGTGGGGGAGAAAGTGAAGACGAAGGCAGACGACAGAACATAGTTAGATGTGGAAAGGGCGCGAAAGGAGACAAAATTTGAAATGAAAATGTTCCGTCGCTGTCAGGTTTCAAAACCAGGATCTATTGATTGAGAGGTGAACATCGAACCTTTAGACCATGAGACCACCCGATTGTGGTAGTTTTGTTACCAAGAGAGACAGAGACAAACACACACACACACACACACACACACACACACACACACACACACAGAGAGAGAGAGAGAGAGAGAGAGAGAGAGAGAGAGAGAGAGAGAGAGAGATGCAAAGTACATAAACAAGAAGTAGGACGTTAGATGTTTGATAGAAAAGAAGGAGCGCACCAGAGCACCCTCATATAAAGAAGTTTTTCTCCTCTCCCAGCACAAAGCAAAAACAGTTCCGAGCTTTTTAGGTAAAGCTGTTCCCGCATCAGATTCGGACATTTGGGATTGCCATGTTAGTGAGACCTTCCAAGGCCTTCGGCAAATAGTAGTAGTTCCTTTCCACGCCGCCTTTACTTCCCCAACTCGAAGTCATTACTACTGGGAGGGCAGGAGGTGGCGAAAAAAATCCTTGTGAGAAAAGACGCTCGAACACGGACTTTCTGCTTCGGAGACGAGCGCACTAACCACTCCGCCACAGCACGCAAAAAAAATGTGACAAAAATTCACAAAATATTGAATGAAGTAAAAATTTTGGATCTTAGAAATACTCTTTTTATTTCCAAAGAAAAACAAGACATAACAAAACAATACAACTCCACACACACAAATAACAGGTTTAACTGCTGAACTACATATTGTATCATTATGTTGTTGCTGTCACGAAATAAAACTTACACCTCTTCATCTATATTTCTCCTCTTATAGAGCAAAGTCAAATTGGGATAAAATTTTCGTATGACAACGATAATCTTCAACTAAACAAACCACACACAAAAAAAAAAATTACAATTGAAATGACAATGAAAAGTTTATGATCTTTCACTCACCTCAAGACAACAATACTGAGAGGAAATGTTCAAATCATTTCAAAAGGAAGTGCAGGCCAAGTATCCTAAATTGCAATAAATGTGATTAAAAACAAAAAAATATCTGCATCTAAAAAAAAGCTTTGAAACAAAATATATTATTATTATCTTAGTAATTTGAGCAAAGAGAGATTTTCCCCACTTCTACTCATAACAGATGGGCGGGGTTTTTTTTCATCAAAAGTAAGACAATGAACAAATTTTAAGATAATACTAATTACTACCTATTTTCAAAATTTGATGCACACCTGATTCCACGACGTTGAGACACATAATATACAATAATTGCTTAACACTGACAGGGGTAGGCCAAGTACAATGGGCGGGTGGTTGGTTCTCTGCTGTGGTTTGCTCCTTCTTTCCTATCAAACTCCTATCGTCCTGATTGATCTCTCCTCCTTCTTTCCTATCAAACTCCTATCGTCCTGATTGATCTCTCCTCCTTCTTTCCTTTCAAACTCCTATCGTCCTGATTGATCTCTCCTCCTTCTTTCCTATCAAACTCCTATCGTCCTGATTGATCTCTCCTCCTTCTTTCCTATCAAACTCCTATCGTCCTGATTGATCTCTCCTCCTTCTTTCCTATCAAACTCCTATCGTCCTGATTGATCTCTCCTCCTTCTTTCCTATCAAACTCCTATCGTCCTGATTGATCTCTCCTCCTTCTTTCCTTTCAAACTCCTATCGTCCTGATTGATCTCTCCTCCTTCTTTCCTTTCAAACTCCTATCGTCCTGATTGATCTCTCCTCCTTCTCTCCTATCAAACTCCTATCGTCCTGAT